CACCTTGACCATCAGTTCCTTCACCTTGACCATCAGTTCCTCACCTTGACCATCAGTTACCTCACCTTGACCATCAGTTCCTTCACCTTGACCATCAGTTCCTCACCTTGACCATCAGTTACCTCACCTTGACCATCAGTTCCTTCACCTTGACCATCAGTTCCTCACCTTGACCATCAGTTACCTCACCTTGACCATCAGTTCCTTCACCTTGACCATCAGTTCCCCTGATTGAGGTCTGAAAACTTCCAGGGAAGCTCTGAGAGCTTCTAAGCAAGGTCTTCTAAGCTTGGCCCAGGGGTTGATGGCCAAGACATGAACTCCAAGCTGATCCCTCCAAACCTTTTCCTGCTTCTTTAGGGAAAAGGTAACACCCCCAACCAACTTGACCTCAAACCTTCACCTTCCCAAAGAGAAACTCCAAGCTCTGAGGAACCTCGAAGCGCTGGAGGAGAAAACATGAAGGAGCTCCGTGGACTTCTTGGGTTCATGACCTCCAAGCCTTGACCCACCCACTCATCAAACTTGTTCCTTAAGGCACATCCACCCAAAAATAGCCTTTCCCACGGCCCAGGCTGTCATTAGTCCTCTCCCCAGGCAATTCCAGCGCGTTATCCGACGCCGAGGAGGCTCCGAGAGCTTGGATGGAGGTGGAATCTGGGCCAGGAGGTTGGGCAAGGGCAGGAGGACTTGTGGTCACAGAGCTCCAGGCAAGGAACTCTTTGCTGTTCCTGCTCCTTTAGCCAAAGGCATTTTTCCATTTTTATTTTTTTTCCAGCTTGCACAACCTCAGAGGGAACTGGAAGGGTTTGGTGGGTCAGGAATGACCAGTTGAGGGGGTTGAAAGGTCATTCCCACCATCACCAAGCAGGTTATGGGGGAAGTTGGAAGGGTTTTCCATCTCCCATCCCAGTTCTCATCCCAGGAACAGCAGATCCAGGTGGGAATGGCACGGGAGAAGGGGAAAGTCATGTTGGGAATGAAGAGGTTGCTGTAGGACTTGGGTGGTTTGGGCTGGAGATGATGCCTAAAAGCATCAAGATCATCTCCATGTCCACACTCTGAGGATGGAGAAGGTTCTTCCAGCACCAAATCCCAAAGGAATAGAGGTGTGAGACCTTCTGGGATCTTTCCTTCTCCTCCTGTCTCCAGCTCACACTTCCAGACCCAAATCCCATCGGCATCAGGTCAACCTGTCCCCATGGAGCTCCTCGAGGACATCTTAGGGACGGCACAAACCTCCTCCAAAGCTTTGAGATCCTTTCCTTGTCCCAGAATTTCCACCAGTTCCTGGTTCTCCCTCATTTCCCCACGAACAAAGTCCAGGGAAGTTATTTTTAGGTCTCTTTGGGATCGTTTGGGTTAAGCCAGGAAGAGTTTCCTAACAGGTCACTTACACATTAACTCCTGCAGGGAATGTGTGTCCCAAGGACCTGGAGAAGGGAATGTGTCTGTCCCAAGGACCTGGAGAAGGGAATGTGTCTGTCCCAAGGACCTGGAGAAGGGAATGTGTCTGTCCCAAGGACCTGGAGAAGGGAATGTGTCTGTCCCAAGGACCTGGAGAAGGGAATGTGTCTGTCCCAAGGACCTGGAGAAGGGAATGTGTCTATCCCAAGGACCTGGAGCAGGGAATGTGTCTGTCCCAGGGACCTGGAGCAGGGAATGTGCCTGGAACAGGGACCTGGAGCAGGGAATGTGCCTGGAACAGGGACCTGGAGCAGGGAATGTGTCTGTCCCAGGGACCTGGAGAATGGAATGTGTCTGGAACAGGGATCTGGAGCAGGGAATGTATCTATCCCAAGGATCTGGAGCAGGGAATGTGTCTCTCCCAAGGACCTGGAGTAGGGAATGTGTCTCTCCCAAGGATCTGGAGCAGTGAATGTGCCTGGAACAGGGACCTAAAGAAGGGAATGTGTCTGTCCCAGGGACCTGGAGCAGGGAATGTGTCTGTCCCAAGGACCTGGAGTAGGGAATGTGTAGATCCCAAGGATCTGGAGCAGGGAATGTGTCTCTCTCAAGGATATGGAGAACGGAATGTGTCTGGAACAGGGATCTGGAGTTGGGTATGTGTCTATCCCAAGGGCCTGGAGCAGGGAATGTCTCCCACCACCAACCAGGAGAAGTTCTCTCCCACCATCAACCAGGAGAAGCCACTTCGCTCCAGAAACACCTCTCCGATGGCCAACGCCAACTGGAACAACCTCAATCCTTCAACCACTTCCTCTCAATCCTCCCCCCAACCTCAACCCTTAAACCACCTTCTCCCCCTGCCCTTTCCAGAGATCTTCCATGACCTCCTGGTTGCTCCTGCACCTCATGGGAGAGGAGACAGCCCTGGGCAGATGTGGCCCCAGGTGGGACATCCCAACGGACTCACATTCCTTCATCATGCCAATGTCCACGCAGCGTTTGAGCCGACAGGCCTGGCAGTGTCTCCGGTTGTCCTTGGTGATCTTGCAGTCCCCGTTGAAGGGGCAGGTGAACATGGCCTTCCTCTTCATGCTTCTCCTGCAGAGGGACCAGGGACAACATCAGCTTGGGGCAAATCATGGGGCCAGACAGGTAGAGAAGCATCGAGGTTGGAGGAGACATCTAAAGGTGTCAAATCCAACCCTGAACCTGTCACTGCTGTGACCCCCAAACCCTAACCAGATCCTCCAGGGCCACATCAGACACCTCTGAGACACCTCCAGAGGTGATGATTCCACCACCTCCATGGACAATTCCCTATTCCAAGGCCATTCCCTCTACTCATAGAGTCATGGAACCATCAAGGTTGGAAGAGACCTCCAAGATCATCAGGTCCAACCCTTAACTTGTCACTGCTGTGACCCCCAAACCCTAACCAGATCCTCCAGGGCCACATCAGACACCTCTGAGACACCTCCAGGGGTGGTGACTCCACCATCTCCTTGGGCAACATTCCAGTACCTACTCCAGTGATGTCTCCAAGAAAAGAAACCAGAGTGAGGGTCACATTCTTCAACGTTCCCTCACTTTTAAACTTGGCTTGGCTGGAAAAACTGGCTGGAGCACATGTTTGTGGGTGAAGGAGAGAAGAATGTCACTGGTGGAGGCAGCAGAAACCACCTCAGGACCTTCTTTTTCACCCAAATCACACTGAGGGATAAAGGGGAAGAGTCAGAAGCTTCCAAGGAAAAAGGGACAGAGCCAGAGGTCCCTGCAAGGACCTTTCCATGGGGTGAGACCCAGTGATGATGTTCCAGGCACATCTGAGCTGCTCCATCAGGAGCTGCTTCTCTCCTGCCTTTGGAATGTGTGTCCAGCCTGGAGAAGAGAAGCTCCAGGGAGACCTTGGAGTCCTTTCCAGTGCCTAAAGGAGCTCCAGGAGAGCTGGAGAAGGATTTGGGCCAAGGGATGGAGGGATAGGACACAGGGAATGGAAGGGGCAGGGTTAGATGGGACACTGGGATGGAATTCCTGCCTGGGAGGGTGGTGAGACACTGGGATGGATCTCCCAGAGGATGTTCCATCCCTGGAGGTGTCCCAGGCCACGTTGGATGAGGCTTAGAGCCACCTGGGCTGGTGGGAGGTGGATTGAGATGATCCTCAAGGTCCTTCCAAACTCCCTCTGGGACACTGAGCTGATGGGACACAACCTCTGGAGGTACCAAGGGATGATGATCCTCAAGGTTCTTCCTGAGCTCATGGATGGGCTGAAGATCCTCCTGCTCCAAGGAGCTGCTCTTGGAGCACTAAATTCCCTCTGGGACACTGAGCTGATGGGACACAACCTCTGGAGATACCAAGGGGATGATGATCCTCAGGGTTCTTCCAACCCAAACCATCTGTGGATCCATGGGGTCAACAGGGAGAAATCAGTGCTGAGCTTATGGTTGGGCTGAAGATCCTCCTGCTCCAAGGAGCTGCTCCTGGAGCACTCAACTTTCCTCTTCCTCCACCAGCAGGACCTTTGGTGCCCAAGGAAGGAGGAGAAACACAACTCAAGGCCAAAATGAGGTCTCCCCACCTCAAACCTTCCCAATTCCAATGGGAATCAACCACTCCAGGAACCAAAGAAGCTCCTCCCCAATCCCAGCTCAGGGCAAGGCTGAGGAGAAACCAAAGCAGGAGAAGAACCATGAGGCCTTGGGGCAGGGAGACATGTCCTGGGTGCTGAGCCAGGCCAAAATTCCTCTTTGGAATGCAAATTGCAGCTTGGCTGAGCCCAAGGTGGTTGAGCTCAACCACAGCTTTTGCTGCCCTAAGGTCCCTGTTGGCTTTGAGAAGTTCCAAGTGCCACCAAGAGCCTGAAGGAGTGTCTGGAGGTGCCTCAGCAGGAGCTCTCACTGTCTGGCTCTGCTTGTATTTTTAGTCAGCTCCACAACTTGTCATTCCAAGGTTTCTTGAAGCTCCTTGTGCTGAGCAGGGCTAAAAATAACCAACTCCTTCCCTTGCTCCGTGCCAAGCTCAGGGGTTGAGAGCCAACCCAGCGTGGCCTGGGTTTGCAGAGCAGGGAGGGATGCCCAGGTCCAACCTTTCCTGACCTTGCTCTGAGGTCAGGAGGGGTTGGAGCTGGAGGTGGGAAGTGGTTGGATCAATGTTGCTCAGCAGCTTTCCCAGGATGATCTTCTCCAAGGGGTACAAAGAGCTCAGTGTGGTTTTATTTCCCTCCAAACATCTCAGGGATAACTGGGATTTGCCCAATTGGAGGTGGAAAATCCATCACTAACCACCCAGTTCAGCTCTGACCTTGGGGGGTGAGACCTTTGGTCCCATCTGGTACTTGAAGGGAAACAGCTCCTTGTGCTCAGGACCCTTGGGGCAACCATAGTCTCCTTGGGGCAACCACAACCTCCTTGGGGCAACCACAACCTCCTTGGGGCAACCACAACCTCCTTGGGGCAACCACAACCTCC